CTAATATTTAAATACATAAAAGACAATAAAATTATCGAAGAAAAAGAAAAAAAAAGAAAAAAAACTCTGGTAACAGAAATATTGTTTAATAGAGAAATGATAATCGTCTCTTTTGTTTTTTTTTCTCTCCTTTTTTCTTTTCTTTCTTATTCGTTAGTTCAATTATTCATTCGTTTATTTGTTTATAATTATTAAAATGAACATGAGACATAGCGGTATAAGAAAGTTTTTAAACGGGAATTAAAAGAAAAATAACGGTATGAGTTTACAAAAAAAAATGTTCAGATACGTTTTATTTTTTTTTATTATATTTTTTTGGTGCAAAATCGATAATAAAATATTTTTTGTTGTTTTTTAGGATAGAAGAAAAAAAAAAGAGAAGAAGAAGAGGAATGGGAAATAACATTTAACCTAAAATGATAAATGTGTCTACATATTTTTGTTGTAATTTTTAACGGTTATGATTTATTATTAAATAAAGAAATTTTACACGTGATATTAATGTATAGTGTCTACTTAAAAAAAACCTACTTATAGTACTAATTTTTTTTAAAATTTTTCCTATGAAAAAGAAATAATATTGAATATATGTTTTTTAGTGAGGTTCTTCATTTTGACGTCAATTAGACTTCACGATATTGTCGACGGGCTCAATACTTTAATGGCTTGAGATTTAACTCTAAGTTGATCGTATGAATGATTGTTGTCGAAATGTATATGCCATCTGTCCTCGTATATAAACATCGACTTAAATCGAATTTTATCAATAACAGAATTAAATAAGTCAAATAACGAGAATGGACGTTTGAATACATATATTTTGTAATATGAAGCGAAACGACGCGCAGTGGAGATGGCGGATAAGTCAACTCCATTTAACCAAGCGTTAATCAATATTTATAGTCACATAAAAATAAGTTACAGACGTGTGATGAATGGGATAAGAATTTTACACACACGTACACTCCTATAAAAACATTCAAGATTGATAAGTGAATAATTAAAAAGGTCAAAATGTAACTCAAAGTAGAATTAGTAGACTGGCCTGCCCCAAGTTTGGAATAAGGTATATGGGCTTAAAATAATAAGCGACACTACAATATATATACCTAAATCTGTTACCACTCATGGAGGAGCATAGGTCGCTCACCAGCATTCTACCTCCAACTCTTTCCTGGGCAATCCTTTCCAGTTTTTTTCAGTTGCTATTTATGTCTGCTTTCAATTCTCAATGCATTGTGTTCTTTGGCCTTTCGCTCTTCCGTTTTCCTTCAGGATTCCAAGTTATTGTTTGCTTTGTGATGCAGTTTGATGATTTTCACATTGTATATCCTATCCACTTCCAAAGTCTTTCCCTAAATTCTTCTTTAGTCGGAAGTTGGTTTGTTCTTTCCTACAGTAGTGTGTTGCTAATAGTATCCGGCCAACGGACACTCATCATCTCATGTAAACAATTGTTTATAAATACCTGTACTATGTTGATGATGCTTGTAGTAGTTCTCCAAGTTTCAGCTCAGTATATTAGAACTGTCTTGATTTTCGTATTGACGAATGTGAATTTGATATTGGTTGACAGTTATTTTGACAATCATCGCCTTTATTTCTGCATCAGATCTTGCACATTCATTGATGATGCCACTTAAGTACGTGAAACTTTTCACCTCATCTAGAGTTTCTCCATCAAGTGATATATATATAAAGTATCTATTATTATTAATAATAATAGCTACGTCTAACTGTAATCCTGTTGTATTATCTGGATTACCTATGATCATTAAATTTCTTGTAAGTTTGTGACAGTTTAGGATTTCCAACAGCTTCGATATAGTCAATGAACTTGTGACATGTCTTTTAATAGATGCTTTCATTAGAATATTCAATTTTCCTAAGTTAGTGGCTTCATTCTCTATTCAACCAATGTTGATTTCAATAATAAAGGACACCCGGTTAAGTTCTGTTACCTTGTTATGTATTTATCAGTCCAATTAGATATCTAAGCAGTTTTAACTATCATATTTCTGCACATCGCCTTTCATGGCCATGGAAGAGATAAAGAACAATGCGAGGTTCATTAGCTAAACATTTAGTCGATACAAATACTCAAATCACTATAAATATAAGATTCAATTTTATATATGGAATCCCAATTATCGTCTAGCGTCTAGAGCGATAATGGATCATATGCGGTAAAACGCACATAGCACCAACTTGCATTGAATGATAAAGCAACTGATGACTCTTAGTAAGAATACCAACATTAGATCAAGATAACTCAGAAATCAAGTCAACAGAATAAAATTTTGAATAGGTTACAACATGTTTCGACTTTGTCTTTTAATGAGTTTCTATCCCAATTTGGATAGCCATCTCAACCTAACCAACTGAAGTCTGTTAAACTTTCTCTCTAATCATATCATCTTTTGTAATTTGAAGACTGATGAGATACATTATTAACTTGAGTGAATGAAACAATTATAGCCAAGTAATTATACAGATGTTTATAGTGTTATATTCATTCTCCTTTCTAGCTATTTAGCCTCTTCATTCCTTTACGTAATTAGATTTTCTAAAAAAACGTATGTTATACTGGTTTGCTTATACACTTATACTCCTAAATTTTATATATTCACATTATCTTCTTTTGAAGTACAAACGGTAGTATGTTTGTTTCTAATTGATTCAACTAATATAATCCTTATGAACTTTTAATCAGTGTACATTTACAGACCATTTGTTTTTTGCTTAGATTTGAAATAAATGATATCCATAGTTTACATTACTCAGAAACGAAATTGTGTCAATCAATTTACCACCTAGCAACTTAATCTTTATTGTTATATAACGCTATGTAAGTGAATGTCAACAGAAGGAAATCGTTATCAATGATGTTAACAACATTTTTATATAAGATGATAATCTTAGACAACATTAAAAAAACACAACTGAAGTATGATATATCTTGAATTGAACATTTATATTTTGCTCCCAAAAGCTTGATAGTAATATCCAGACTGCATGACTTAACACATAAGTATAACAGTTGAACTAGTAAAAATCACAAAAATATTAAGCAAACCATATATTAGAGGACAAAATGAAGAATAATATTCATATTCGCTGATTCTATTTCTCAGATGAATATTAGTTCATTTGTTGAATGAGTGTTGACAAAGCAAAAACAATAAATCCGTTAAGTATCAAGTATTTTAGGGAAAATGATTTAGAACTACTGATTATACTACTATTTTGAAAAAAACATTATTCATATAGTTTGATTCGAGTGAATTTTATTAACATTGATAACAATTTCATTATCTTTATTATTGATAAGTATTAAGAAGTGGCTGTCAGGGCTCAGTAGCTAAGTGGACAGTGGAAGGACGTTTGAAGCAAACAGTACGCGGTTCGAGTAGCGAAGTGAACATCAATTCTGATGCAGACACATCCATCTGAATGCTACCAAATAAGAAGAAATGCGGGTCTTGGATTCCATTGCTAGCCATCATCCATTTATTGTTGATGATAATAAATGAGCGAAAATTCATAATATCAGAAGGGGTTTTGTGGATATTATAGTAATCTTGATAGTTAGTATCATGAATCAGTTGAAGCTAAACCACCATAAAAAACCTGAAAGCATTGGACGGCCGCTTTGTCCCAGTGTGCGACTCCTCAGCAGCGCGCATTCACGATCCCGCATCGCGAGGTTCAATTGCCTCGTGATCCTAACTATTAAAATTACGAAAATCCCTTCAAGAGGTATTCCCTGGAGTTCTAGTGGGAAGCAGTGAACAGTGCAGTTCAACTGGGTCAGTTGTGAGATGATAACTGACTGAAGACAATGGTGGATGTGTCGCTTAATTTCGTAGATCAGTTGGAGTTAGACATTAGTACTGTTGGATCCAGGCCAGCTCAGTGGTCTAGAGGTTGAGCGCTCGCGTGAGAGACCAATATATCCTGCGTTGGAATCTCGCGAGGTGGGATCGTGAACGCGCACTGCTTAGGAGTCCCACAATATGATGAAACTGCCGTTCAGTGCTTCCAGATTTTCCATGGTGATCTAGCTTCAATTGACTTATGTCTAGCTGATTTGTTTCAAATAACTGGTACAAATTTTGATCAATATTTAAATCTTTACTGACAAAAACTAACTTAAACAATTACTCCCTATTCATCCAGAGTGAACTTATCTTCTCTTATTACTGAAAAATGTATACTGTTTTGTTTCAGTTGTAAAAACTAGGATAAAATTAATGAGATAACCAATTTTGTAAAGAAGTTATTTAAATGAAAATACTAAAGAAACATTGAATTAACAAAGATGAAAGATATTTAAATAGAAAAATACATTTATAACAAATGAATTCATATTCTTAATTATTCAATTATATTAGTGTAAACATGAGAGTATATAAGCAAAGATGGATGGTAGCTAGCATGGGGATCCAGGACGTGTTTTTCATTCTCTTTGGGACTCGTCAATTGGATGTACCTGCATCTCAGAGTTGATGTTCAATCTAGGAGTCGAACCCAATACTGTTCGCTACAAACCCCATCACGTTGTCCACTTAGCTACTGAGTTCGATAAAAGACTGATCAATTACAGTCCTAATCATTAATGGAAGGATTCAAGTAAACAATATCAAGTGAATATATATATACATTCAATAGAACCAGTAACATAACTTTGAAATTAAAGAATAATATATACATGTACATATATAATTGAATAAGGAAGATATCATTCAACCAATTAAATACAGTCAAACACCTGGTTTATATCATTCAATGAAACGTTACAAATTGATTGAATGGTTCAATATTCAATTAACACTTGATATATGTCAATCTAGTAGAGAAATAAAATAAAATAAATGACTGACATTCACCTTTGTTTATCCTTTTTCTTTCTTTTTTCTTTAAAATTTGATACGAAATTTTCTATTCCCTCGAGTCTTTCCTTTTTATTTAATTTTGGATACATTCATGTTATTTCAGTCTCACTCTATAGGTGATTCTTTATTACTTTTGTATTTAATGATAGCATGTAAACGTGTAGTAGTAGTAGTAGTAGTAGTAGTAGTAGTAGTAGTAGTAGTAGTAATAGTAGTAGTAGTAGTAGTAGTAGTAGTAGTAGTAGTAGTAGTAGTAATAGTAGTAGTAGTAGTAGTAGTAGTAGTAGTAGTAGTAGTAGTAGTAGTAGTAGTAGTAGTAGTATACAACTGAATACAAAAGTACATTGTTGCTTTTTTTCTGTAGTATTTTTATTGCTCTTAAAAGTATTGATCAGTTAACTGATTAACAAGTTTCAGATAATCTCTACAGTTGAATTGATGATTGCAATGGTTAATTTTTATAGTTGAATTCATGAGTCAATCGAAGCTAGACCCTCATGGAAAACCTGGAAGCACTAGATGGTAGTTTCGTCCTACCCTTAACTCAGAAGTGCGCATCCACGATCCCACCCTCGCGAGATTCGAACCCAGGACCTATCGGTTAATTTTTAATTTTATGCAATTAACTCGATGGTAAATTTAAAGTAGAATTAACCTTTAGTGAATATAATAACTCTGAAGTTATATAGAAGGACAAATTAATTAATACGTGATCAATATGGTGAAAGTTTTGTATAACATGTAAAAATATTTCACTTGTTTAGCAATGACTAGTTACCCTTATAAATAACTAATTCATTTAACAGTTTTGATTGCTTATTATAGAAAATGGCATACATAGATAGATCTTAAAGTTTGTCATCTTTGTTCATTGGTAAAAAATAGCTGAAGCCAAATATCGTCTGTAAAAGGTTGATTATGTCAAGTAATTCATAATTAAATGAATTTGACGTATTAATTCATATTATTAATTCAGACTGAAAGCTCAAAGCTTGTAGAACTAGAACCAATAGTGTACAAATGATTTCGTTTTGTTATATAAAAAGAAGTTATATATGCAAAAAAATGATAATGATTAGCAGTGGAATCTAGTTGGGACTCATCAGCTGGATGAACTTGCATCCTAGAATTGTTGCTCACTCCGCGACTAGAACCCAGTACTGTTCGCTTCAAAGGCCTTCATGTCATCCACTTAGCTACTGAGTCCTGATAGCCGATTGCTTGTGCAATAGGGTGAAGTTTAAATTCACTTGGTGTTGTATACTTGAATCTTCTCGCTTATGCTTATCACTGTAATTGGTCAGAATCTTATCGGCATAGGTACATACCATGCGTATTGTTTCGATATTGCCTTAATTCACTAGCATTATAAGCAAATAATGATAGTAGGTAGCAATAGAATTTAGGATACGCACTTGGTCCAATTTGGGAGTTATCAGTTGCAGTTCTAAACAACAATGAGATGATTCAAGTAAACGAAACCAAGTGAACTTAGAAGTTATATATATCTTAGTAAAATCTGAGAACCATATAGTGTATAATTAATTTTCAAAATATCTATCAATGGTCTCATACTTGATTGTTCCTTCGTTTCTATTCTAATCACTCTTTGTTCTCGTTCTCTTTTTTCGATCTTCTTAACATTCTGCCGCCAGTCACTCTACTTTCGATTAGTGATACATACTACTTATATCTGTCGAGATCACTAGCACACACCACACTAGTAAGAAACAATTGTCTGTATTCTTTTGGCAGTTGTTTGAATTAAGTCACTACTTAATGTAAACCACCTTTGATTTAATATGTTCATAAATTGATATTATAGTGAAAAAAACGTAATTTGAATTATAAATAATCGTAAATCACTTTGTAAATAATATCAACCTTATGCACACTATGTATTAACCATCAACCAGTCTTATTACCGAAAAACAATCTCATGTACTAACAGTTGATTGTGTTATTTATTTGTCTATAATAGAAATGTTAACTTTCTATTATTTCAATAAACCGTAAAACAAATACACACACGTTTACGATCATTTCCAAATTATTCACATCTGGATTTAGAACGTGCTTTTAGTTTGTTAGTAATTTTTGTTTTTCTCCTATTAATGAATTCAATTCAACTGACAGATATATCAGAAGGGGTTGTGTGGATATTATAGTAATTTCTATTGTCGAGATCATGAGTCAATTAAAGTTAGACCACCACAGAAAACCTGGAAGCGCTGAACGGCTGAGGAGTTCTACAATAGGACGAAACGGTCGTCCAGTGCTTTCAAATCTTCCATGGTAGTCTAGCTTCAATCGACTCATGATTTCAAACAGCGGAACTAGTGTTTAACACTTTTGGGGAAAAAATGGGTATAGTTTAAATTTTTAAAAGTATTATATTAAACTTTAATTGGATAAAATATATCAATGAAATTAGCATTTCAAACATTTGGTTCATATTAATAAATGAAAGAAACTATAGTAAAGAAGAAAAAAAGGAGAAAGAGAGAAATTGAAATTTTTCAGCAAATATCTATTCATTACTGAATGATTCTATGTCAATCAACAAATAACTTGATTGATTAACTTAAATTATTTGTTTATTCCCCTTCCCCTATCCCTTGTCTCCCTCTCTCTCTCTCTCCCTCTCTCTCTCTCTCCCTCTCAGTTTTTCTGTCGATGAAAGTTATATATCAAATTTCCATGATTGAATTTTTTTTTAAAATATTTTTAACTCTAGACGATATATTTTCATTCTAGTACACGTTTTTACTAATTTGTATAAAATGAAATTATGAAAAGTACATAGACTAATGAAGAGGAAATTCGTAATGAAATGTATAATTGATAATATTTGCTAAGTAATCAGTAGTACAAAGGGGGGGATTTCTAGAGTTTGTAAAACTTTTAACGAACAATATTGAGAATATTACAGAATATCTTGATGAAATCTTAAAATTATACAGTAAATATTCCATTTTCAAAATATCTATCAATTGTCTCATACTTGATAGTTCTTTCATTTTCATACCGATCACTATCTGTTCTCGTTTACTTCTCTTCGATTTTCTTAATATTCTGCCACCAGACATCCCACTTGCAATTGGTGATATATACTATTTATATCTGTCGAGATCAATAGCACACACCACATCCCATACTAGACCGAAACAGTGTTTTCTCTGGCTATGGTCATCTTATGATGTAAATTATGAAATCTCAACAGTCTCCATAAACTATTATAAAAATGATATTCATATGCTCACCAGTGCCTAATTTCGTGATACCATTCTTATAGTTCTATTGGGATACTGTAACTGATAGTGTTCAACCATGTAAGATGTGAGATGAACCTGAAGATCATTGGTTTGATAAAGTTTTTTATGTAACAGATATTACAATATCTGACAGATGAAGTGTAATTTGATTTTTCTCTTGTAATTCAATAATTTACTGAAAAGATATAGTAAGCCATGGTATTCACTTACTTATCTGATTGATCGATTTTATGATCACGTTCTCACTAGTGACTAGAATCGACATGTAATTCTTGGATTTCTAGTGTGAAACCGCGACTAGTGGAGCTAATCCGTATCAGGTGTGAGGCAGTTACTCACCGAAGACAATGAAAGATAGTCGCGCAATATTGTGCATTGGTTGAGGTTAGACATTGACACCATTGAATACCGGCTCAGTGGTCTAGAGATTAATCGTTCTCGCCTGAGGCTGAAGGTGCTGAGTTTGGATTCCGCGTGTGAAGTGCGAACTGTTCAGGGCTATGAAATAACTTCTAAACTTGACATAATAAAATGTTTTCCTTGATTTTCTGGTTTATGCTTTACAGTTTAAGTGGTGTGGTGAGTATAAAAAAAAATCTTATGAAAACAAAGTTTATGACGAACACAACTTGATTTTACACTAGTAGAATATATTTATGATTATGCTTTTAGAATTAGTACTAACATAATGGATAATAAATAACATTATCCATGGATGGGTTGATCACTTCTTACTAAGATGGACGATGTCACATTACGAATGAGTGTTTGATAATCATTAAAACCGTTTTTACCCTAGTGAATTCAATTTATCACTTTCATAGTAATATTCAATGGAAAAATTCATGTTTATTATAGTTCAGTAATGTTTAGTTGGTGAGTTCTAAATTTACTTTTTGGATTTGACTGTATTTTATTAATTTTGATAATCCAATGAGAAGACGTAGTTTATCAGAATTATGTGATATATTTGCGCAATACATTTCGAACAATCTGATCACACATAATATACTTGTTAAGAACATTTATATATGAAATTTTAAAAGTTCTACAAGAGAGGTTAAGGGTAAGTCATAACAAAGGAAAAGTATTAAAGTACACAAAAACAAATGTGATTACCACTCTGGATAGTAAATCAGCATTACCAGGATAGGTAAAGTGCAAGGACAAATTGTTTTTGAACACATAAAGGGGGTTATATATATATCACATAATTCTGATAAACTTCGTCTGCTCATTGCATTATCGAAATTTATTTTGTTATTGTCGATAAAACTCAAAAACTTAAATTTATGACTTCTTACTAATAGCAGAGTGTATAATACGTTGACATTGGGATAGAAATTTACCGGATTCCAGTCTCATTGTAATAATCAACACCAAGATTCATATACCTTCAGATCATCAGTCTTAAATAGTACAAAATGAGCACTTTGGGATTACACTTTCTAACTATAATTCGAATATTTTTTTCTACATACATTTATATTTCAAAGAAAAACTACGTTTGTTTGACAGTTTAGTAATAAATCTTTTGGAAGGTTAAGATGAATATAAAATGAAACACAATCCTACAGTATTTACCAAGAGTGTGGTTTGTGCTACTTATATAGACAAATATAAGTAGTATGTATCATCAATCGAAAGTGAAATGCATAGAGATAGAAGGTTAAGAAGATCGATGACAACAAAACGAAAACACTGAATAATTGCTGTGGAAATAAGGGAACAGTCAAGTTTGAGACAATTGATTGATATTTTGCAAATGAAGTATTTATTGTATGGTTCTCAGATTTTACTAAGATGTTCTGTAATTTTGTGTTGAAATACATTCGATTGTCCCCACTTGTGTTCTCTTTCGCTACATTAGAAATGAATATTGTTACATATATCTATATTCAGAATGGGTTTTGTTGAGATTTAGGAAATTTCACAGATTGAAATCATGAATCAGTTGATGCTAGACCACCATTGAAAACCTGGATGCCGGCTCAGTGGTCTAGTGGTTAAGTGCTGGCGCGCGAAGCCAGTAGGTCCTGGGTTCGAGCCCCGCGTGGTGCGAGATCGTGG